CTTGACTTCAGTTTTGACTAAAGATGACATTAATTGTTAGCTGGGTCGAAATTATATATATATATATATATAAATATATAAATATATGCCAGTCTTGGCTGAAATGTTTTATTTACAATAGTTTTATATCTGTGTGGTATTTTGTGTCGCCACAGGATATGGAACAAAAACTGCTCCTTAACGTGGTTTGTGACACGGATAATATTGTAAAGTTCCGTTTAAAAACAAAACTGTTCTGGCTGCAAATCCGTGAACAAAGGGAACAGAGAGTTCTCTCACTTTGTAAGTTATTTTTTTTTAAATAAAGATGTTTGTTTCCTAAAAGTACATCTGTGCTTCAGTTTTAAAGGCATGCTTGGCATTTAGATGACGTGCTGTTAACAAATGGATATACACGTGGTGTACACATGGAAGTGGAATAAATATACTCAATGTACGAGAGCCACTGTAAAGCCCAGCTCGGGCCAGAGAGAGCAAAACTCTGTAACAGCAATGTCATAGCAGCTTGGGCCCTGTTGGTCTTAAGAAGTATTTTCAGGCAATGATGAGTTTAGGGGAGGGAGTGGTTGGCAGGGCTGGGTGCGATTCAAAGGCTGGCTGTCCAGTGAAGACAGGAGGCAACGATGTGGTGGGGCTTAGGATGTGGTAGGGCTTGAGGGGAAAGGGGAAGCCAGAAGGCCCCTAACAGTCCTCAGTCCTGAGGGTCAGGAATTCTATCACCTGAAAGTCACTCTTTTGACTTCTTTTGTGATGGGCAGATCTTTCCAAAACACCAAGCTGCAGCTTCCCAAGGTAGAGAGAAAGCCAGTTTAGTACCTGAGCAACCAGCAGCATGTGGCCCTCAGGAGGGATGTGTGGGTCTTAATCCTGTTTCCTAGAGCCCTGCCCCCAATGGGAACCTGTGCTCCCCTGCACCCCCATCCCTATGATCACAGGAAAGAGGACCCAGGCATGGAGGGTGTTTGCCTGTGCAGGCTAGACAAACTCCACCTGGTTGGATGTGGAAACCACTTTGTACTCTGGGTTTTCTACGAATGAAGAACAGTGGCTGACCCAGACTTTGGCACCAAGGAACAAAATCTAACAGCTGTTCAATGGCTTTTGATTCTCTGAGGAGCCTCACTTGAGTTTCTATCTCAGCAACCGGGGGAGACCCCCCACCCGCTACTGCCCCATGTGTTCACATCTATCACAGCATCAAGACTGAAGTCATGGAACCTGATCTCTTTGGGACACGTCTCTCAGGGGTCTGGTTTATTTATGAGGACTGGGGAATTCTGTCTTCTGGGCTTCTCTCCAGGGACAATCTGTAATGGGTGGGAAAGCACATGACAGAACAGCCAGGACAGCCCCAAGGTCCCTCCTAGAGAAGTAGGACTTCACCTCTGAGCACTGTGTTACTTGGGTGGATTCTAGTCCTTCAAGAGTGATAGCTTAAGATGGGCCAAAATACTGCAGAAGATCAGCCCTGTGCTGTAAAACTTCCCCTCCTTCTTCCCTGTGCCTGGATCTTTCAAGCAAAGCTTGACCTGGCCTGGTGAGGACCTTCCTATTTCAAGGCCTCCACAGTCTTGATTCCAGCAAGACCATGTACATATGGGATGAGATGACTTTGAGCAAGGGTTGATTCAGAATCAACTTACCTGCATGCTGTCAGACTTGGCAGTGTTTGGGGGTGGCTGTGGAGACCTGGCCCTGGCCAGCCCTTCTAGAACATCTATTTTCCTCAGCCTGATTCTCACACACTGGCACATATGTGCACACATGCACATGTACCTTCCTGGACTTGCTACTGCTCCTGTAACTAACACACACTCAATTTTCATGGGCATGTTTGGGATTTTCCTGGAGAGTGTTGGGGCTAATTTGAGTTCCATCTTCTAGAAGGTTCCAGCATTTGCTATCCAGCCCAGGGAGCAACCCAAAGAGCTGCAACTTCTCGTTGTGCTGGGAATCAAGAAAAGTTTTAGTTTTGCTGGGCCTCAATTTCCCCATCTGTAGCATCAGATGTGATAGGGCTTGTTCTACAGGGTTATTGTAATTTAACAACTGAATCACAGTTCTTGCAAAGGGCTTGTCACAGCTCTTGTGGGTATACACTGCTTGCTGGAGGACAGCAGCTGATCCATCCTCACAGTCTGCATGTTTCCCTCAGAACAAACAAAAAATGCTTCAGAGAAAACAGGGTGTGGGAACTCTTGCTTGTGGACAGAGACTGAAAGGTGGGGTCACCTGCCTTGGGGGTGGTTTTCCTGAGGTAGCCACCCCCCAGATCATTCTTGACAACACATGGACATATTTTGGAGGTGAGGGAAACTGGTATCTAGTGGGTAGAGGTCAAGGGCACTGTGGAATATCCTACAGTGTAAACTACTGCCAATAACGAGGAAGTATGAGGCCCCAGGTGTCAATGGCAGTAATGGAGAGGCCCTAGGAGAGCTCCAGCCACTAAGCTCAGACTTTGGGGTGCCAGTCATCTTCTTAGCAGGACCTCTACCAATTTAGGAGTGCTTGGGTAAAGCATCCAAAGGGGACACAAAGCCTCTGCCTTGAGGGACTCCAGCTAGCCGCACGGCCACACTCACAGATGGATGCATGTGGGGTTCACACCAACATTTTCACTGTACCTGAAGTGAATTTCAGTCATATGAATTTGATGCATTAGCAGTGTACGTAAGAGACAGACTGACGTGTGCATGAGAAGGATGTGCACAAACTAAGTCCACATGGGACGTTTTCTGTTTGACTTTAACCACTGAAAAATTCAGTTTAAAAGGCTTGGGGGGTTGGCAAGTTGGCTTGGCAAGGAAGGGAGGTTGCTGTCAAGGTTGCTAACCTGAGCTCAATTCCTGGGATCCACGTGATAAGAAAGGGCAGACTCCTGCAAGTTGTCCTCTGACCGCCACATACATACAGACACTAAATAAGTGTAAAACTAAATAAGTAAATAAATAAATAAATAAAAGTCCTTGGAAAAACATGGCCAATGGACAGAGGGACCTTCAGGATGACATCAGCCTGGGTGATTGATGCCATGTGCTTCTTACTAGCTAGATAATGTGCTCAGCATTTCTTCTGTGAACCTCAGACTCCTCATCCTTAGAATTATAGCTCCATCGTCCTCAAAGGATTATTGGAGAAACTAAAACAATAGCATGTACATGGATCACTGTAAATGAATGAGGAGAGAGAGAGAGAAAGAAAGTGACAAGTTCGCCTGATGTCTGTTGGCAGGTATCTAGTCACCTTGCTTCCTGTAAGATGCTGCCCACAAAGCCCCGGACTCTGTTCCTCATCATCCTGGCCTGTTTGAGATTCTGAGATTAACGGGCTCAAGGACAGCACACCGAATAAAACAGGGCATGGTCACGTGTGGTAGAGGAAAGTAAAGTGACGATTGGAGTTTTTCTCCCTGGGCAGCGCAGCTCCATTTTTGTAGGCTTTCATATGCTGATTCCCTCAGCCTCTCCATGTGGGATTCAGAAGCTGGCAATCATGCAATCCAGTCCTCCTGGGTAGGAGGCGGGGATGGGGACTTCGGCAGCCATTTGTCACAATACAAAGTCCATAAGCAGAGGAATGGAAGTGTCTACATTTCCATAGTTATTTCCGGAACGAAACTGATTAAAATCACTTCCTAGGTAGGGCAGAATCTTTAACAATCTTCACAAGAAAAGGCAGAGAGAAAGTGGATGTGGCGATGGTATTAAATCTGCTTGGGTGACTCAGAATGTATGTTGGCACGGCAACGCGCCATGTGGCAGGCAGCAGACATGTCTTGTTGGTGGTGTGGCGTGTCTGAAGAGGTCTGGCTTCAGCAAGCCGTGCACAATTTGCTTCCTTTTAGCTTTTCACATGAAAGCGTTTGAAGCTGATCTTTTCATTCCGTAATCAATAGGAAGAACGCATTGAAGCTTTCCCCACTGCCGTGGGGCTGTGTTCCATGCCACATTGTAATGAGAATTTGAATTTCGTGTGGCGCATGAAGTGTAAATGAAAAATTGCCAGTCGCCCAGCTGTGCGGCCCGAGAATGTCTTTCCTGGCAATTTATTCTGCACTTACTCCTGTTAATATAGTCGTTCATCCACACATTTGCTCATTCCGGTCACCAATGGGACAAGCTTTATGGAGCACCTACTGTGTGCTGTGCACCACTGTCTTTAAATGCAGAGATGGCAGGCCTCCTTGTTCCTTCTAAGATGCTCCCAGCCTGCAGGGATGATGACAACGAGACGTCAGAGTGTGTCATGGTGGGGGCGGTGGGGGGTAGTCCCAGAATCTTAGCTGAGGTGATGAGGTCCTTTAGAAAGAGGAAACAGACAAAGCTCAGAAAGAAGGGGTCCTGCTGTCCTAGATGGATGATGGCCAGGACTACAGGGCAGACCCAGGAACGAGCGTGGCCCACAAGCCTTGATCTCGGGATGCTGTCACTTTTATTTTATTTTTTAATTTAGAGGCAGGGTTTCTCTATGTAGCCTTGGATGGCCTAAAACTCTTTATATAGACCAGGCTGGCCTTGAACTCACAGAGATCCACCTGTCTTTCCCTCCCAAGTGCTGGGACTAAAGGTGTGCGTCTACCATGTCTGCTATGCCATCATTTTCATACTGATGCTTTGGAGTAAAAAGAAAAGAAAGCCTGGGTGGTGTCCAGATGTTAATGAATCTGTGTGGCAGGAGCTTATCCTCACAGGATTTCAAAGGTGGCAATGTCCACTCCCAGTTCTCAGGAGAGAAAACAAAGTCCAGGGCAAGGAAGTCAGGAGAGAGCACAGGGAGGCCTTGGGGCTTTCCAGGGCAGCTGTAGCCTTTCTCAGGCTTCCCTGCACATCCTGGGACTTTAGCCTCCTGGCTCCTCGCAGGAAGGGAATTACCTAAAATTAACTCCCTGGGAACGGGGGTGGGGGGCACTCTACTCGCCTGGGGTGACATCTGTAGGGACTGGTTTTGCTTAG